TATACCAACAGTTTCTATTTTAATTATTTTGATAAGATCGGATTCATAAATCCTTTTCTATCTTGATTAATGCTATTCAAGTGGATTAAGCAAGCGGCTAGGGGTGATGCCTCGGAAAGGGTTTTTTATTGTTGCTAAATAGCTTTTGTTGTAGCTTTCAAATGGTTCTCAATGCGTTCGTCATACAACCTTTTGCAGTAAATCAATATGGAAGAACTTCGAGAATACACCCTTCAGAACCTTCGCCAGGGTGGGCCAACTAGACATATTCTAGTCTTAATGAGGTTTTGGTGGATGCATTAATGACAAAATAGCCTTGACCAGAGTTTTAGGAAGGTTGTTTTATAGTTGCTTTGTAGTATTTCATAAAACTTAAAATGTTACTTGGGAGAGTTAGTGTGGAATAAAAAATGAGTAGAATCGAGTGAGTGTGAAGCGTGATAGACCGTATACGGAATTTCATTGGATCGAGAATTTTGATAGTTTTGCAATATGATGCACCTATGACGGGTATCTTTGGAATCGGAGTGACGTTTAGGAAGCAGAAATCCATGTATGACGCTATTTTGAAATCAAATATAGCGACTTCCGGTTACAGAAAAACTGAAAAATACTGTCAAATACCCAACACTATGGGTATTTTTAGAATCTGGGTGACGTGTAGGGACGGGAAATACACGTTTGAAGCATTTTAAAATCCAATATGGTGGCATCCAGCCACCATCTTGGATCAACATGGCTTCAGACAACGATTTCCAGTCCCTACACGTCACCCCGATTCCAAAAATACCCATAATGTGGAGCATTTGACAGAATTTCCAAGCTTTTCTGTAACCGGAAGTAGAGATGAACTAGCCTTAAGCAAAAAATCTCTAAAATAAAGATTTAAATAAAAAAATATAACATGAAGCCACTATCTTGCATTTCAAAATAGCGTCATGCATCGATTCCCGGTCTCTGCACGTCACTCCGATTCCAAAAATATCCATTTTGTGGAGTATTTGACAGAATTTCCAAGTTTGTCTGAAACCGGAAGCCACCATCTTGGATTTCAAAATAGCGTCAGATATCGATGTCCAGTTCTTAGACGTAACTCCGATTCCTAAAATAACCATATTGTGGGGTATTTGACAGAATTTCCAAGTTTTGCTGTAGCTGGAAGCCACCATCTTGAATTTCAAAATGATATCAAACATTGATTTCTGATTCTTACACGTCACCCCGATTCCATACTGTGGGGTATTTGACAGTATTTTCCCAAAAAAAATCTGAATTTTTACTGTCGCGTAAAATCTCCTCTCGCTTCGCAAAACTTGCTTGAAATTCACAGAACACCCCTAAGGTTTGTAGAACTTTACTGAAGTTAAGGAAGCTCGAAGAACATTCCAAAAAAAATCAGAAAGTTCCCAAAGTCTGAAGCAGTTTCCTAAAATTCACAGAATCATTTTAACGTTCTCAGAACTTCACTGAAGTTTGCATAGCGTCCCTGGAGTACTTCATTTAAGTTCGTAGAGTTTTCCTGAAGTTTGTAAAACTTCCCGGATGTTTCCAAAATGTCCCTGAAGCTCGCAGATTTTCCCTGAAGTTCGCAATACGTTCCTTAAGTTTGAAAATCACAAAACTGCGCTGAAGTTCGCAAAACGTTTTTAAAATTTGCAGGATTTCCATGAAAGTTACAGATCTTTCCTAAAAGCTTCCTTAAAAAAATAATCTATGACAAAAGGTCTAAAGACAAGAGATCGAAGGACAAAACCCAACTAACAATTTTCACAATGTAAACGCTTTACTCATTTCATTTATACAGCCTCAAGCTGTATTCAAACGTTATACGATATGAGGAAACCTTTACTCAACCTCTATACAAGCAAATCTGGCGAACTTAGTCAGCTACTTATGGCTGTTGGAACGGTCGGGAGAAGCTCTTATTGTATATATCCATTAACGCTTCTATACAGCTGTTATCCTGCTGTTTAGTTGTGTGTGAACTTGAAAGGCGCTTATTCAACCTTTTCCCGGTTATCCAATAATCACTACACAAGCTTTCTCTTGAAGCCGGGTTAAATACTGTTTACGCTTTTTTATGAAGGATTTTATTTTGTTTATTTTGCTGTGAATCAAATTAATCGAAATTAGTTACAAATCGTCACCAAATTATTTAACTCTGCACCGGAACCTGGAATCGAACTCGAGACGACCTCATTGGCAAACCTTGACACTACCAACTGTGCTACGCCAACACTTTGAACTTATGTAAACAAATCAACATTCTCTTCTACAACAAAATCGCTGAGTAGAGGCTTTATAATAGTACACATGAATCACTTTTCTCGACTAGTTATAAAAGAACAGAGTAAAAGCTGTAAAACTGCACACGTCTAAAAATAAACCTAGTTGACTGTGAAAATGCTTCCGAAGTTGCTCTAACACAGTTTATAAGCTTATTTATTAAGGTTATTTAGTTGTTGAAAAAGCACTTTTGATGTTTATGTTATTCAGCAAGAGTGGTTGGTTGTGTAGAAGCCATCAAATGAGTAATATATTCATTTTGTTAGCTTTGTTTTGCAGCTACTAGTTGAAAGTTGGGTAGTGTGTGTATAGAAGTGACATTAGCGTTTATTGGCTGATGTTATTCAGTGCGACTGACAAATTGAATAATGGTTGTGAGAAAGTTGAGTAAATGCTCTCCAAAACTATTTTGCTAGCTTTTGCTTGTAGCTGTATCTGCAGCTTCTTTTCAGCTACTTTACAGCAGAACGCCGGAAAAGTTGGCTTACAAAGCTGAAAATGTTAGTTGGGAATGTCGAATGGACAAAAGGTCGAATTGTACTTCGAGGGATAAAAGGTCGAAGGGACAAAAGGTCAAATTGAAATTTGAGGGACAGAAGGTCAAATGAACAAAAGGTTGAATTGAACTTAGAGAGACAAAAGGTCGAATAGGCGAAAAGTCGAATTGAACTTAGAGGTACAAAAGGTAGAATGGACAAAATGTCGAATTTAAATTAGAGGGACTAAAGGTCGAGTGGACAAAAGGTTGAAATGGACAAAATGTCGAAAGGACAAGAGGTCGAAGTCAAAATGGACAGAAAGGCGAAGTGGACAAATGTTCAAAAAACCAACAGATAATTTGACAAATTATTGTTTAGACAATTTTCGCTTGGACTTAAGAATAACTAAAAAAATACTCCAAAAGAACTGCTCATGATTAGAAAAGTAATATATTCTAGAAAAATGCAATTATTTGTCTCTTAAATTGCCGTGACAAACATGATATCTATTTTTTACTTAATTTTCCAAAGAACCACTCATGATTTAAGGAAGGAAAAATATTTGAAAGTTAGCCACCCATCAACTTGTCCAGCTTATCCATTTTGACCATTTGTCCACTTCAGTGCTCGGAAAATCATGCTCAAATCTCATTCATTGAGTCTCCATGCGATGATAGACTTGCGTGCTAATGCGGCATACAAAATTCATGGTTGAGATTCTCATGCATATTCACGCACTTACACTCTCAACACCGAAAAATCATTTCAGCTTTAAACTCACAAAAACCTCTCAAACGTCAATGAGTATGCTTATGCATGTTGTGGTAGTTTTCCAATTACTGTTGTACAAACAATAGTATTAACAATGAATAACGATAAACTATAGAAACATGAATTTTCGAACCTGACGGCGCATAAACTCATGCATGAGATTTGAGGTTTTGAGCTTTTCCGAACACTGGTCCATTTTGTTCTTTTGGCCATTCAAGCTTTTTTTCTATTTTGAACTTTTGTCCATTAGACCATTTGTCCATTCGACCATTTGTCCATTCGACCATTTGTCCATTCAACCATTTGTCCCTCCTATTGATCAAAATGAATCTTGTGAAATTTTCAAAATGGCATCCTTAAAATTTTTCAAAAAATTGTTGCTCGGAAACGGCATTTCTGATCGAAATGACGTCTGAGACAAAGTTGTAAAGAAATTAATGTTTTTCTGGGGCAAAAAATATGATTTTTTTTTCGAAGAAAATTTAAAAAAAATTAAGACCCATCTATCTCAAAATGCCCGGTCAAGGAATTTTTCGGGTTGAAAAATGTCTCGATTTTCCTGGGCATAAAGTATTATCATAGAGGTAACTCTAAGACCACGTGATTACCTTTCACCCCAGCAGGCCTGGGTTCAATCCCAGTCGGCGCCGCCGGGATGTTCTGAGGCATAACATCTTTGATCACGCCTTCCTTCGGATGGGAAGTAAAGCCGTTGGTCCCCGGTTCATGAGTTGATGGGTCGATAGGTAGGGTCCAGGTGTGGGAGCTGCCTTCCTGGCACGTCTTTAGCATTGGTGCTCAGCACGGAAAACAAGATCGACGGAAAAAACAAACCAAAGGAAAAAAAAAAAACTCTAAGACCAGAAGGTCCCGAAGAAACGCACTTAACTTTTTGGCACAGCTCTAGTACTATCTTCGGTCCCAAGCTAATCGATGCACCCCTCGAGACATAGGAAAATCCACGAACCCCTCATTTTATCTGCCAAACTTTCATAACGAATCAAAACAAACAAAGTGTAGTACTAGAATTTCGACTAGAATGGGGTACGCTTATAGATTTACTTGGGACCAATAGGTTAGTCAAGTAGTGAGCCAATTTAAAATCATTAGTTTCCACCGGTTGGTTAAGCCCTTCAATGATTGGGGCATTACCACATTTTATCCAGATAGCTAATTTTCCATGTAAACTTGTTTGATGGAATGTACAAAATCCCACCACATTAGAATTTTCATGAAATTCTAACAGTTTTACAATATTTTTTGACGACCCTAAAAATATTGTACTTTTTTTAAATTGTTTTAATTATTCAATATTATAATTTCAGTTAAATCATACAACAGATCAATTGTCGTTAATTTACTTTTCCTTGTTTCATTTTACCTACCCAATTATTTTTTCCAACTACTCCAACCTCCTCACTGCCTATCGAATCAAACTAATCACCCCCTCTCTTACCGTCACAGCTCTACGACGCCTTCCCGAACCGAAAGTTCCCGAATCAGTGCTTCTGCAACGTCACACTCATCATGGAGGAGCTGAAAATGGACAGCATCCTGCGCGAGTACCTTCGTGGTCCGGAAGGGCCACAGGGTCGCGAGGGTAAGACCGGCTCACCCGGACTGACCGTAAGTGTCTGCACTCTAACATGAAAGTATCCATTAATGTGAGAAATTTCATCCATTTTGAAGAAAAGTTGGGTAATAGTTTCTCATTTTTTAGTAATAGCAACTCATTAAATGGGTAAATGTTTTACCCATTCATGAGATACACGCTATTTAAAAGCTTCCCAATTTTAGGTAGAATTAACCCAGATCCGTTAAAACTGAACCTACCCAAAAATTGACAACGGGAAAACATTGACATGAATCCGATCAATTTTGTTCATATGTCAACTTGTCACTCCCAACATAGTTACCAATTTTTGGGTAGGTTCAGTTTTGACTGATATGGGCGGATTCTACCCAAATTTGGGTTAGTTTTTAAATAGCGTGTAAGTCACTTTGCTTCAAAATGGGTGTAATTATTCTCATTACGGGTTCTTTCGCCTTAGCATGTATAGCTATTATCCTATACACGACCGTTGAATGCGACTCATATTTGGGTACCGATCACTAAAATTCGCAAAAACGTACTATAGACTAAGTAAATGTTTACTCAAAGATAAGTAAATGTCGAGCAAAGTTTCGCAAAAAATATGTTCAAATATGATTTAAAATTCATATTCGAGAAAACATTTCTCAGTCTATGAGTGACCTACGTTTTTGCGAATTCGAGTAAATGCAACCTAATATGAAACGGATTCAACGGCCGTGTAGATTTCAATGCAATTCTATCATGTTTCCCCCCTTTCTCGCTCTTTTTTCCAACAGGGAGCAACGGGACCCGCCGGTGAGCGGGGCGTTGCCGGTCCCAAGGGTGACAAAGGCGACCGTGGAGAGCCCGGATTACCCGGAACGGAGGGTGAGTTAATAACAAACATTAAACCTTATCCTCTTACCATGAGTCCCCCCCCCCCCCCATTCTTTTCAGAACATCGACAGAGTTAAGTGCTGTCGAGCTTAATGAGTGTAATGAAAATTAAATTTTATTTCAACATCATTGTCTTTCCTTTTCATCCCTGTCTCCACAGGTATCCAGGGTAGCAAGGGGGAGTCCGGCTTGGATGGCATGCCGGGTCCTGCCGGTCTACCTGGATCTCCGGGACCGCCGGGTATTCCCGAGAACTACGATGTAAGTCAACTGTTTCTATTCACAATCCAACCGAAGAAAAAAAATATTTGTAATGTAACTAATTGAAATGATGAGTAACATTTTCTAACCTCATATTTCACCACATCTCCGCTGCAAACCGCAACTATCTAACATCAAAGTTTTACAATTTCATGCTTTCTTTCTTTCTCTTAACCCATAACACAATATCTGTTTTGTCAAAATGTTCTAATTCTAGACAAGTTGGAATCCATCGCGGATGTTCAAGGTATAACCAGAGTAACAGATAATTCACTGCAGATCTATTCAATTCATAACTAAATTTCGACACTTTCAATGACGCAAAAAAAAACAAACATTTCCATCAGAAACGTGGAAGCACTTTTACCGACATTGTTTCCTTTGAGTACCCCGAATTTGATCTCATTAGGGGTCGGCATCGGTCGGATGTAGCAGCCTGCCCCAAAGCAGCGAAATGAAATATTTATGTGAAACAATTCCCCAATTTGACACACACCCCCTGCTGCCAACCTACCCAAGGCACGACCTCTTGCATCATGCGGGCAACATTCCCACCACGCTTTCACCACAAAACCGATCCGATCCAGTTCGAATGAACCGCACCGCCCCCGAAATCCAAGGGAAAAAAGTCAAAGTGTCAGACAACCTTGGCATACATATTGGTGCTGTTGCTCTCTCGCTCTATTCATCGCATTGTGCAGGATCTGTGATTTTTCCCATTCTTGGCTTGTTTCTATATTTTTATTGGTCTCCGGATTGGTTTGACTCGGTCTGCCGCCGGGTCCTGCCGACATGAAACATGAAAATGTGTTTATGGTAGGCAAGCATAGTTGCTGCTGCTGAAATTGGATGAATAGAACAACGTCGGAGGAAGAAACAAACAAAAAGAAGCAGCAGGAATGAAAACAATTGTCAACCCCCGGCAGGCAGAAACTGTACGCTACCATACGTCGTAGGCACTGTCGTATTGTTGGCAGAAATATGACAAATCTAATTTCATTCAACTTCATGCTTGTGTGTACTTCTATTGTTTATTCAGTTGATGATAGGCGACGGCACGGAAGAGAGAAGAAATTGGACGGAAGTGGAAAAGGTACATCAATTTTCCCATCGCTCGAGGAGAAATGAGCTGTTTTGGCATTATTCGAATTCAATTAACTGATAGAAATGAGTTGCATCAATAGAATTTCAATTAAATGAAAGTGGAACAATGGAAAAGTATGTCTTTACAAGTGGGCTTCAAGCGTTTCGTCCATGTCATTTTAGCATTAACATATCATGAAAACGTATCCATTTAAATAAATTTATCGTTCAATAACATGTTTTCCCGCAGCAATTTTTAATGGATCTTGAACAAATGAAACATGATGATTAAACAAACGGATTCAGGTAATATCAGGAAGATTACCGCTCCTCCGACAGGTGGAATCCCAGGGTGGACAGGAATTATAGCCGGCTTCAATTTCCTGCGAAACAATGGCCGCAAATATGGCCTTAATCGCGATTTGAGGGTTCTTTATTGCCGATACTCGCATATCAGCCCCATTTGGTTTTTCATCACTTTTGAGTTAACCTCAGGAATGGTGTTTATTTGTATCGAAGTTTTATAAGCCACACTGCAAATGACAATTTTGAATGGAGAAATCGCGAAATGTGTCATGTTCTTCCCATATATTGAAAGTACAAATTTAGATTTTTTGCCGAGGTGGGCACCACCAAGCAGCTCGGCATCTTATTTTGCTGGATCTCAGTGAACAACTTGCCGAGATATCAGCTAACAAACATAAATAAACAAAATCATTGAAGGTTGTATGGAAACTATGGTGGATTACTATGAAATATTTTCAAATTTCACTAGTATCACTCTATCTTTGGTTAAAGTAGCCAGAATGTTGTCAACATTTTATATGTGGTTGCCATGACAATGCCTTGTTGCCAAGCATGGAAAAATCCATGTGACTCTGCATGTAGATTCGGAACAGACAGCAATAGAAGGAATGCATTATACACTGAACGGCAACCAGAGATGCCAGATTTACAGATATGTCTGTGAATTTACAGACTTTTATTTTTTTCACAGACATTTTTTTTCGTTACAGACATTTACAGATTGTTTAGTTTTTTTTTCACAGATATTTACAGACTTTTGTAATCGAGAGAGAATTTTAAAATTTGTTTGGTTACACTGTTTTACATCTTTAATCAAATCCACCACACGAACGAGCAGTCACTGTTATAGATGCCATGTTGAATCCAAATCGAACATTTTCCATACGATTTGACGGTTTGTTTTGATACGTCAACTTACGTTGGTCGGTCTATAACTTGACTGTCTATAGTCACTGTCAAAAAGTGAATGAAACGGACAGTGTGTTTCCATCCTATTCCTTATTTTTATTCGAGAACAGTTTTAGCAGCCACACAGACATAACATTCGCAAGTTGTTCATCGAACAAGCATTTAACGGTAAATTTAAAAGTATCGTAGTTGGTAGTACCGCCACCTGTGGCGCGCATATTGTGTTTGAGGTTTACTCTTGCGTTTGACGTTTAAAATTCCCTTGCGTTTGACATTTACACACTACCGCCATCTGTTCAGCGTACTACCCACCACAGTGTATTCAACAGATGGCGGTAATGTTTTATTGACGATGTTTTACAGTGAGAAATATTCAATGTGTTATGTATGTCCGTCTGTGGTTTGAGTGCTGAACGAAGCAGCCATTTTCGTCGTTGTACCTGAATAAAAGTCATTAAAATGTTTTAAAAAATCGAGAAAAATCAAAGGGAACCCAAGAGGAAACCCCATTACAAACTTTTACAAAGGATCAGGTTAAGGAAAAACAATATAAATACATGCACTAATCATTATGTTGAGTTCCATGTGATTTGAGGTATCGCACGATGCATTTCGGCGCATGTCAAAATCTGTCCACTTCCGGTACCCGGTACATTTGAAAGCGGCCATTGTGATCATTGGGTCTGAATATGTCCACCATTGATCTTATAGTAAAATTCTAATGTGATTTGAGGTGTCGCAATATGAGTTTTTGACAGTGCCTTCCCGTTTTTGGCAACACGACCTAATCAACTAATTCTTTCTTCAAATTTGGGCTAGCACTTCCTGGGGATTAATTTATGACATTTCAAGTAGATAGGATCTCCAAAGAGGGGTCCAGTGACATCAGAAATGGAATTAAGCGTTGGATGGGTTTTCTAGAAATTGAAGAAGACAAAAATCATGTGTTGCCAAAACGGGAAGGCTCTGTATCCATCTTTCGAGCATTCCCCAGTTAGATCTGGAGTTCACATTTTTGTTCATAGCTTTGGAACCATAATTCTAACCACAAAATAAATCAATAGCGATCTATGGGGATCTGAAACACTTCTTCTGGAATTTGTTCCACTCAAATTGATCCAGCCATCTCTGCGGAAAATGAGTGAGTTACACAGAAACATTTTCCGATACCGTTGAGATGAGCCTATTGGTATATGCCATTCGTCTCTCCGGGTCTTGGAACGAAATTATATTTTTCAAGTGATATCATAGCCTTGGTGTACGAGAAAGGCAAAAAGGTTGGTATCAGCAAATTGTGATACATTTATCCAATTTTTTCTCCCCCAAGTGTGTAACTATTTTGCAAAATTTAATGAATATGTTGCTTGATATATCTTATTTTAAAACTGTATTTGTAAAATCGATACAACAGTGTTAAGTGCCAATTCATCGTACTTGGCTTCGTTAAATTACTCAAGCTCTAGAAAACGTAGTTTACTTGTAGACTTTGTAAAATTTTCGAGCCTTATAAATCTTTTTGAATATGTCGAAAATCAACAAAAAATTTACTCATTCTAGAAGTATACACTCAAAGAAAAAATCACATATCCAATGGAAAATATTCATTAGAATTTCACATTACTTTCATGTGATATAATAATTGGGAATTGCACCACTAATTAACATGAACCCTATGTGTGAAATGAAACTTTTCCTGTAAAAGCTCGGAAAGTTTTACTCAGTCTATGAGTTAACAACATTTCAATAATATGAGTGAACTAATCACAACTTAGAGTCGACCTCATTTGTCGTGTAATTGTAATTTATCTTTTTGTTAACTGCTTTTTAACGTATACTGCGTAAATGGATGCATTTCCAGCTCCAATTAGGTTCAATTAGTTAAAAGCAGGTCTTTTCTGCTCGAACATGGCTTTACTGAAATTTCAAATTTGACAAACTATTTCGAGACAAAAGATGATTACCCCCTTCACACGCAAACCTTCTGTTAATTCTATGCAGCCCAATTACAGACATTTCTGTAATTCACAGACATTTTTCGCACACTTCCGAAATAAAAATCTGGCATCTCTGACGGCAGCCAAACGATTTTCTCGACCGAGGGAGAACCCGAAGGGATGCTTGAAAACCGAACGCTAAATTGAATGAGATATTTTTCGACTCAGTGATTTAAATCAGTTGAATTGGACATAACAGTTTTACAGTTTTTGCGTAACGCATATGTTTATGTGTTACAGTATAATTATTTTCTCCATGTTAATACCAATTTAAATTTGTCGATTTACGATTAAAGCTAGAAAACAAAAGGTGATTCTCTCTGCCAAATTCTCACTCAGCTCACTTAGCTGAATGCAAGCGTAAAAGGCTCAGCAAGCATGAAAAAATAATAAGTGATGAATCATCCACACTACTACACTCAAAATCGTTCGTGTTACGCTCAGCTCTAGGCACCTAATACATAGGTGCGAGACGGCTAATACATAGGTGCCACAGTCGGAAGAAGTGTTAGTTTGTTTACTAAAATGAATCGCCCATTTTGTTATGGCAAGTTTTGCTATAAGAAATGCTCCTCGTGTTTATTAGCGAAATTCACATCAAAGCTAGATTAATTGCGTAGGAAATCAGTTTGGCACGGCATTTGTGACCAGCATACACCTTCCGGTGGTATGAAACAGGTCCAAAACAGTCCAAATCCGCAGATAAAAAATTTTGTTTTGAATTTCTGTATGGCAAAATAGTGAACTTTTCGTGAACATTAACGGCAAAGAACTCACCAACACTGGGAGACCGTGAGTTCCTGCCCACCTGTCATAAAACCGTCTTGACATAGGTGACACAGTAGGAAGAAGTGTTAGTTTGTTTACTAAAATGAACTAAGCCCATTTTGTTATGGCAAGTTTTGCTATAGGAAATGCTCCTCGTGTTTATTAGCGAAATTCACATCAAAGATTG